TGTCATTTTGTCTAGATATCTCTTAAAGATGTAAAGAATCCAATAACCAGTAGATGGCAATAGAATTCCATGGGACATTTCTTTCAGGCTGCATACTTATTGGTTAGCCAGTTGTTCTAGTTATTTACTTATAAAACCATAGCACTCAGTCTAGAAGAGATTGTATTGTGTCAATTCTTTATTTTAAGAATGAGAAAACCAGAGCATAGTCTAGGAACACAAATGTCCTAACATTGGCTGTGACATTAGTAACAATGTCAGCACTTGGCTTCAAGTTTCCCCGACTCCCAGTTCTCCCTTTGTGTCTCACTAATTATTTTCTTTTGATAATTCCCTAGCTTTAATGTGGTATACTGACAAAATTGTAGAGACTTAAGGTATACAATCTGACAATTTGATATACATATGTATGGTGAAATGACTACCACAATAAAATTATATAACACATATATCATCTCATATAGCTTTTTTGTGGATGAAACACTTAATATCTACCTTTTTAGAAATTCCAAGTATAAAACACAGCATTGTAAACTACAGTCATTGTGCTATACATTAGATATCCAGAACTTACTCATTTTATAATGGAAAGTTTTTATTCTTTTCTTAAATAAGTTTTTTATTGTGAAAATACTGTACAGAGGGGTTACAGTTACACGAGAAAGGTAATGAGTACATTTCTTATCAAGCATTGTTGCCTCCTCCTTTGTTTTTCCCCTACCATCCCTTCCCTCCCGCCTCCACAACTACACCATGGCCCCCAGCCTAAATTGTAAAGTTCGTTTTTTCAACATAGTGTCTTGTACATCTAATTGTTACAATGGGTCAACCCTTATCCCTATTTAAACATTTTGTTTTTTTTCCCTTCCCCTCCCCAAATTATACTGACATCAAATATAGTGAAAAAGGGGTTATACCATGGGGGAGGAACATACAAAGCAACAAAAAACATCACATGGTACCTTATAAGGAAAGTTTTTATTCTTTTTTAAATTTATTTTTTATTTTTATTTTTTTGGTCCAGTCATGGGGCCTGAACTCTGGGCCTGGGCGCTGTCCCTCAGCTCTTCAGCTCAAGGCTAGTGCTCTACCACTTGAACCACAGCGCCACTTCTGGCTTTTTTCTTTTTGCTTATGTGGTGCTGAGGAATGGAAGCCAGGGCCTCAATGCATGCAAGGCAAGCACTCTACCACTGAGCCACCTTCCCAGCCCCAAAGTTTTTATTCTTTAACTAATCTTTCCTTTTGATAATTCCTAAGCCTTTGGCAACTACATTTCTAGACTCTGTTTTTATGGGCTCAACCTTGTACATTCATATAGTATTTTTATTTCCCTATATGACGTATTGCACTTAACATCACATCCTCAAGTTTCATCCATGTTGTCATGGATAGAAGATTTTTTTCTTTTCTTTTTGGCCAAATGACATTCTATTATATACATATGATTTTTTCTTGTTTCCAGGTTGTGCCTCTCTTGGTACTTCCAATGAGCAGCACAGTGTCCAGAAAATTGTCAATCTGAGATTTTTGAACTACATCCTTGGTGTTTTATATGTATAAGATGATGCTATTAACTACTATTAGGCATTGTTGTTTGGCCTTAAAAAGGAATATGATCAATGACTTACTTGTCTTTTGTGAGCTTATGAATCAGCATATAGACATACTTGAAATTATAAATCTGTAAAAAAAGTAGAATGAAATGGAATAGAATGCCACCATGGAGGACTAAGGAACAGAAAGGTGGATATAGAAAAAGTAATGAATACATATATGAATTTACTTATGTACATGTACATACTTCTTTTTTCAGTCATTCACTGATAGTCACTTGGTTTTAATCCATGTCTTAGCTATTGTGCATAGTGTTGCAAAGAATATGAGATTACATGTATATCTTTGACACCATTCAACACACACACACATATATATATACAAATATATAAATATATATAACTAGAAGTGGAATTTCTGGATAATATGGTTGTTCTAGCTTTAATTTTTGAGAGATGGTTAATTTTTTAAAAGATGGTTGTACCAATTTATATTTCTATCAACAATATACATAAGATATTTTTTTCCTTCACATTCTCTCTAGCACTTTCTGTTCTTTTTGATACTACCACTACAGGTGGGGGGTGGTATGTTACTGTGGTTTTAATTTGTCTTTATATTTCCCTGACAGCCACTTATATAGAACATCTTTTTTGTACTAGTTTGCCATTTATATGTCTTTTTTTCCTGCTAAGATTACCATTTCTATCTTACCATGTAGCCCAAGCTGCCTGGAACTTGCTATGTTGGTCTTGAACTCATGATCTTTCTGTCTTGTCTCCAGAGTGCTAAGATTACAAATGTATACCACTATGCCAGGTTTCTTTTGAAAAAAAAATCTCTTTAGGTCTCTTGCCTACCTTTTAGTTGCGTTTTCTTCTTGCTATTGAGTTGTTTGAGTTCATTATGTTTTGGATATTAACCTATTAGCTGTACAGCTTGAAAATATTTTCTCCAGTTCCGTAGGTTCCTTTTGATTTTGCTGATTGCTTCCTTTGCTGTGCAGAAGAAGCTCTTTAGTCTGATGTAGTCCCACTCACTTGTCTTTGCTTTTTTTTTTTGCCTATGTTCTTGGTGTCATATCACAAGTTCCATAGTCCAGATCAATGTCAGGAAGTTTTCCCCTTAGGTTTTATACTTTCAATCTTACATTTAAGTCTAGTCATTTTGAGTTAATTTCATGAGTGGTATGAGAGAAGGGTATTGATGTCTGTTCAATAGTTGTTCTTAGTGATTTTTCCTCTAAAAAGGAAAAAGGAAAGTTGCTTCTTAAGAGATTGCATTTAAACAGAATATTCAACTCAAACCAAGCTTTAACTTTTCTACTAAGTTGTCTAATCTAATTATAACAGCAATGTTGCAAATTCAAGTTGTATTGTTCACAAAGGAACAGGAAACTACTAGGTCGTTAAGTGACTTCAGCTTTGTGGAAAGGATGAAATATACACAGATAACAGCAAACAAAGTTGCACCCAGGGCAACTTGTAGATATGAAAATTAACAGGGCAAAGGAGGTTTATCATTGAGGGAGGATTAGAGATGATAAATTTTGACTTGCCTATGAAGGTTAGTAATTGTGGGGTTCAAACTCTACAGAAGGGAGAAGAAGAATGGAGAAGTGTTTAAGAGATAAGAGAATAGCATGATCACAATCTGGGATCTTGCATTAGAGAAGGTGCTGGGGTTGCTGAGGGGAACCTGTACACATTTTAGGGGTTCTGTTTAAATGGGGCTTGTTGGAATTGGGCTTAGGAAATCTGAGTAAGAGGACGGCTGAGTCTTGAATGGTGGAAGAAGGCAGGGTGGAAGAAAACAATGCTAATAGTAGAAGAGAGCAATGGACATCAAATATTGGTGCCAGGATAGAGGCAGAATCATGTCTATTTTGTTAAATTTGGTTCATCAGGTGTCTATAAAATACTTCAAAGTATTCTGGACAGTACAATGATGTGAAGATTAAAGCATGGACTTTTTCTTGAAAGAACATACTTACTAAATTTCTGTGAAAAATAATGTTAAGGGAACAGTTAAATACCAAATAAATAAGCACAAAGACACCAGATTATGTTACTTTGGAATATATTATTTTCAATATATGTTTCAACAACCATCTGAAATTTAACATAACTTTAAAGATGAAGAAATAAGCCAGACTTCAGGGAGGCTCATGCCTACAATTTTAGTTACTCAGGAAGCTGAGATCCGAGAAATGCATTTTGAAGCCAATCTGGGCAGGAAAGACTGTGAGCCTCTTATCTCCAATTAACCACCAAAAAAGCTGGAAATGGAGCTGAGGCACAAGTGGCAGAGTGCTAGATTTGAGCAGAAAAGCTCAGAGACAGTGCCCAGACCACATACATACAAACTGCAACTCTCACATACACGCAAAAAAAGAGTTAGGGAGGCATTAAGAGTTGACAATGACCATCAATGACTTAATGACCATCAAATGTGTTGGTGAATGAGTGGTAAAGGGTTAACTCCCTAGTAGGGGATGGAGCAAAATATTATAGCTAGATAATGTTCATTTTGACTATTATTTTTTCCAATTGATTTTTATTTTTATCAATGCCAAAGAACTTAAAGAATAGAGACTTTAGAAGATAATAAATGAGGTCTAATGTTTGGAAAGATGATAACATGGTTCCCCAATAAAAAAGAAAAGGATTCATCAAAGCCATTGCTCATCAATCATTTATTGGATATATTAATGTAATTCCACGGTCTACACAAAGACTATCTTTGAAGGGTTTTCAGAACTCTAGAGCCAGGGATGAATAATTTTGGCCAGTAGGAATCTGCATACAGATGACATAAGCTTTCTTTCTATTTTGAGTCAGAATGAGCCTATTCAGCTCTTGTGATAACTGTCCGATGGACAGTCCCTGTGGTGAAGAGTTGGGCCTGGAGGATGGCAACTCTCAAGATGTCCTTTGTGGTGCCTGACTCCCATAGCTTGTTACTGTATTTCATTCTAGTATAGACTATGAGGTTTATGATTCCTGGTGCTTTATCCACAGGAGCCAAAGTTCATCAAAGCCCAAATATCCTTTCCTTGTTGTAATATGTCTCCAGAATACCATTTTTAGTTCTTGAACTTCAGGGAGAGAAGTATTATACTGTTTACCTTTCAAAGGTTTAACCATATCTTACCTAAAGAGAGCCCCAAATAGGAAGTGATTTGAAGTTCCATGCTGATAAAAATTAAGATCAGATTCTTTCACTCAACTTACAACTTAGATTCCACCCAATCAGAAAGCCTTAGATTTGCTGCTGAAAGAATTGAGATGCCCTAAAAATGAATTCTAGTCCTCAAAAGCATCCTTTTGGTGGGTGGAAAATAGAAGGTATACATTTTTAACTTTTTAAATGAGCTAAAGCTGAACTGATACTTGGACTTTTTCTTTGGCTTCATGTTGCTTTAGTTCAGGTGTTCACACAGCTTAGTTCTGACATGATCTCTGTTCTTGTACATATTTATAGAAGGGGTTGGGAGCACTGACTGCCTTGGTAGGGTGCCCTTTACCCTGTTCTCCTTTTTGGGGCCTCCCACCACTCTGGGTTGGATGGAAGTCTTTTCCTTGTGAACTTTGATTATCTTCATTCATGTGATTGTTTTCTCTGTTACCACAGCCTTGTTGAGATCCTTGGGATTGCTGATTTTTTGACTCTTGATATCTGTCTTTCTCTTTCTGGTTTTGTCTGTCCTGTTGTTGTAGACGATTTTGTTCCTCTTTGTGGGTTTTCTTTTGTCTTTGGTGTTTCTCTTCATCTCCATAGAGTTTCTTGTCTTGTTTTTGATGATCCTGCTTATTTTCATAAGTTCGTCTGTGCTGTTGTTGTGCCTCTTCATGAGTTTGCCTGTCATGTTTTTGGAGGTTCTGTTTATCCTCATGGGTTTGTCTGTCCCTTGTCTGATGACTTTGCTTATCATGTACCTCACATGGACTTTCTTGATCTTGATGGGTGTGACTACTCCAGCTTTGGTGACCCTGTTCTTTCTCTGCCCAGTGGCTGTGTTTCTCACTTTGATTCTGCCCAGTTGGGACTTGTTTGTGGCCCTCTTCTCTGTTGCTTGATTGCCAATCTCCCTCTCTAGACTGGGATCCCCGTCTCTGATGTTGATTTACTTCTTTTCCTGAAACCTGTTGACTTAGTCTCCCAGACTTTCCTGATTGCTCAACATATGACCCTCTCCTTGTTCCATCAGTCCCTTGGAAATTCCTATTTTGTCCTGGAATTTCAGCTTCCTTAGTCTGTGACTGACCAGAGTGGGAACTCTGTCCTTGTCTGTCTGTCTGCCCATGGTGGGAACTCTGTCCTTGTCTGTCTGTCTGCCCATGGTGGGAACTCTGTCCTTGTCTGTCTGTCTGCCCATGGTGGGAACTCTGTCCTTGTCTGTCTTTTTGACCATGGGGGAACTCTGTCCTTGTCTGTCTGTCTGCCCATGGTGGGAACTCTGTCCTTGTCTGTCTGTCTGCCCATGGTGGGAACTCTGTCCTTGTCTGTCTTTTTGACCATGGTGGGAACTCTGTCCTTGTCTGTCTGTTTGACCATGGTGGGAACTCTGTCCTTGTCTGTCTGTCTGCCCATGGTGGGAACTTTGTCCTTGTCTGTCTGTTTGACCATGGTGGGAACTCTGTCTTTGACTGTCTGTCTGACCAGAGCCTGATTCTTTACCCAGATTTCCAGATTGTCTATAAGAACCTGATTCTTGTTGACTGGTCTGACTAGAATGAGAATCTTGTCTGAGTGTTCCAGACTGGCTACATTTTGGTTGTTGTTTAACCCTTTCAGACTCACCATGATGAGAATCCTGATCTGGTTTCTCTGACTTATTTATGGCAAATGTATATTCTTGCCCTTTTGGTTGGCCACTGCTAGAGTTTCGATTCAGTCTCTGATCAGAGCTAGAGTCTCGATCTTGTCTCTTATGCTCATCAGAGCCATAACTCTCATCTTCTTCCTCAGACTGGCTACAATGAGAGTCTGTATTTTGTGTCTGTAACTGACCATGGTGGGTGTTCTTGCCTTGTCTCTCAGACTGATCATGCTGAACATCCTGACTTTGTCTCCCAGAGTGACTTTCTCTTTCATGACTCTGCCTATGTGGTCTGCCTCTGTGGTTTCCTGGAAACTTATCATTTTGTGTTCCTTCCTTCTCCATTTCTTGCTGGGAGATTTTATGTCTATTTGACCTATCTAGCTTAAGATGGCAAGCTTGGACCAATCGGAACACCAATAAGAGATATTCTTGAAAATCAACATATCCATTTCTGTCTCTGTCTAAGAGGTCCATGATGACTTCCACAGTCTCTGGGTCTTTTGGTCTCTGTAGAAAGATAAAACAAACAGCAAAATCAAAGCATTCTCTATTGACACTAAGATGTATATCAATGTTCATGTCTCAGTCCACAAGCTTTCCTTGATTGAGAAACCATTAAAATGAAATGGCTTGGTTCTAGTCTTTGACCCATGGATTCTCAGAACCTCATCCTTTGTTGTACCAATGGGAATATGGCTCTATGGAGTAGGCACACGGATTTATAATCAACTTTTTAATAACTAGTTTGAGTCATTTGACAAAGTTATTTCGTCTATCTCATGCTATATTGTAAATATATATCTACTTTCTCTTCACAATGTGAGATCTTATAGGAAGAGGAAGCTGGTTTTATTCAAATTTGTATTACTGGTTCCTGGTAACTAGGATTGTGCTGTTACAAAGTAGACTCTCAGCGAACCTTACTGGATGAGTTAACACATGGTAAGTTGTAAGGACAGCACATATAAAATACAGAAATAAAAATACAAACCTTAAATTTTCTTCTGAAAAGTTATTCTCTATTACTTTGAAATTCTACTACCTGTTGTTCAAGCTCGGATACAAGGAGATGTGTGTGTGTGTGTATTGGAAGAGAACTACTAGGTGCTTCCCAACATAGCACATTCCTAGTATAACATAACCAATAAAGAAAAACATGAAATCCTGGATGCAGATATCAGAATCATTCATACTTGACTCCCTCAGGCCAAAGTGTCTGTGTATCTTACCCGGAGGATATCTCCGAATTCAGTCAAGAGCAGGTGCTTCAACTCCTTCTTGCATAGTGAAGTACAGTCCCCATTCTCTTTGGCATAGTTTTGAAACACCTTGGTTACCGTGAGTATGCTGTTCAGAAGGTGAGCCATTTTGGAAAATTTAGATGAACCTATAAGAAGAAACAAAATTTTGTCTAGATTTGAGATGAAGACCTAGAGATAGAATTTCCAGAGGGAAAGTGACCCATTTTAGTTTGAGAAGGAAACTTAAAGAAATGAAAATGCCTATTTCAGCCATACCCTCATCTTGACCAGTAGTCAGGTTTTTAATACCTTTGTGCTACAGTGGGGGAGATACAAACTATGGTTCCTTTGCTAGAAGAAGAAGCAACTTGCGCTGGGAAGGTGGCTCAGTGGTAGAGCGCTTGCCTTGCATGCATGAGGCCCTATTCCTCAGCACCACATAAGCAAAAAGAAAATAAAAGCCGGAAGTGGCGCTGTGGCTTAAGTGGTAGAGTGCTAGCCTTGAGCTGAAGAGCTGAGGGACAGTGCCCAGGCCTAGAGTTCAGGCCCCATGACCAGACCCCCCCCCCAAAAAAAAGAAGAAGCAACTTTCTAAAAACAAAAACAAAAGTATAGTAGAAGCCCATAGAGGGAGGAGGATCAGAGGTCAGCATACTAGGACATAATTTTCTACCAACAGCAAGTATTTGAAGATGGAATAGGTTAGCAGTTGTTCTTACTAGTCTAAGAAAGCTTTCTGGGAGGCAAAATTCCAAAAACAATGCAGATAATTTTTACACCTGCATATAAAATTGTATCAGTGAGTAAAAAAATTGTTAAAGATAAAAATAGCAAGAGGACACACAGCCAAATCAACTGCACAGATGGTAAGAAGTACATTAAAAAAAGAAGCACATATAATGAATCAGATCCACACTGGTTATTCTGGGAAGATAGAATTTTTGGAGATCTATATATCAATATTTTTTCTTGTGGTCTGAAAATTCTAGTAACTGGGCTTATAGGTTTCTAATCTGAGCACATTGCTAACTACAGCACATATTGGGTTTCCAGCAGTATATAGTGACACCTATAAGAATAAGTAGTATGGGACAAACTGAGTCCTTTATGGCAGTCCATTGCAGTGAGACTTGAATATTGATGAGGCCTCACGGTCCCTAAATTCTATTTTTTTTTGGGTCTGGTCGTGGACCTGAACTCGGAGCCTGGGCGCTGCCCCTCAGCTCTTCAGCTCAAGGCTAGTGCTCTACCACTTGAGCCACAGCACCACTTCCGGCTTGTTTTTTTGCTTATGGGTGCTGAGGGATTGAACCCAGGGCCTCAAGCATGCAAGGCAAGTGCTTTACCACTGAGCCACCTTCCCAGCCTTATGGTCCCTAAATTCTAAAATCTTGAGTCTTGCCAACTGTGGGAGACTGTTATCTACCAATAGTTTTAACCTTCATTTGGGGATGCTTGGGACATAGTGAGACAATGCTACAAGTATTTTATAAGCTCAGAGGTAACATGTATCATCATTCTTTCAGATAGAGCCTGGAAAAGGAAGCAGAAAGGTGTTCAAGGCTATCACCCTCAAGGAGTAGTCTTAAATCTCCACCTCCCCCAGTACATTTCAGCAAAATGTGTGTATTGCCATAGTTGTGATTACTGCTATTGCTCCCCCATGCATGTCTTACCTGCTTGAAGAGAAGTGAGCAGTAGGTTCAAACTCCAGGGAGGTTACTAGAGACCTGGAAATCCATCCTATTTATAGGATCTTAAATTTTCCTCCTTTGTCATCCCAGGAGACACCCATTCTGTGACAGAACCTGAATCACTCTGCACCCAACCCAGCTTATTCCAGTTCAGCCCAGCTTAATCTTTCCCTCTGCAGACCGTTTGGTTTATTTACTTCCCCCACTTGCTCATGAACCTGTTTGTCATCGGAATAGGTGACACTGTTCAAGTCTCAACCTCAATTAGGTGAGTGTTCATACATATATGCATACATGCTGTGTGAGTTCCAAAGGACAGAGGTGCAGGCTGAATTCATCCTTAATAAGTGTCATTTGCAAGACTACAGGGGGCTGCAGCCAAATCACAACCAAAAAAGATATCTGCATGGTTATATCACAAAAACATGTCAACATAGGAATTAGGGAGCCTATGTTTTTGACCAGGATATAATTCTGGGAAGAGTCAGGCACTGGTGGTTCATGCCTGTATTCCTAGCTACTCAGGGGGCTGAGATCTGAGGATCACACAGTTTAAAGCCAGCCCAGACAGGAAAGTCTGTGGGACTCTTCTCCCCAGTTAAGAACCAGAACACCAGAAGTGGCACCATGGCTCAAAGTGGTAGCCTTGAGTGAAAAGCTCAGGGAGGGACAGTGCCAAGGCCCTGAGTTCAAGCCCATAACCAGCCCCCTCACCCAAACCCCCAAAACAAAAAACAAATAAACACCAAATAGTTCCTGGAAGAGATTTGTTTTAGACTAATTTCTTGCTTTATAATTAGATAATTGTATATGAATCTGTTGTCCCATATCAAATTGCTATTGTTATAATTCACAGTCCCATAGGCTAGTGGGAGAAATAGATGCATAAACATTTGGGAGACACATCAGGTGGAGGGTGATGGTGGCAGAGCTGCCACCACTTTAATCTTTTAAGTCTTATCAAACAGTTTATGTTGGGTGAGGGATAACTTGAAAACTCCTGGTATCTCTAAGGTAGAGTTTATTCCCCCATCTCTCCACCTGTGACATGCCAGCATAGTACCTTGACCATAGGAGATTCTTAATTTTTAATTGTTATTATTATAAAGGTGATGTACATAGGGGTTACAGTTACATAACAATAATAAAAAGTCTCATGAACATTCCTTCTCAGGCTGGCTTATGAGGTAAAGAGTACATTTCTTTTTGGGCAATGTCACCCTATCTCTTGCTCTCTCCCAGTTTTTCCCTCATAGGAGATTCTTAATAAACATTTTTTGGGGATAAGTGAATTATTGAATTGTGGAAGCATTGGAGAATCTGGTATAATATGCAAAGAATTCTAGACTCACTGTATTTCTGCTTTTCCCTTACAACTAGATTCCTGTTTGTCTTTTTTCTATGTATCAGTCAGTCAATGGATCTATTATTTATAGTGATATTTTCTCTTATTTACAATGTGTTCAGGATTCTATAAGGAAATCATAAAAATGTACAAAGAATTTTTCCCAGTTTGAATAAAGAAGCTTCATGTAGAGAAAGGGTTTGAACATTAGAGTTAGGACTTGCTAAGTATTGATTAATAGACAACTTAGGTACATGTGGAGTCTTTCAGGGCTGGGCCTGGGCTTCCCTTAGCAAGTGAGATTTGTGTTGTTCCTCAGAATATTCAGGTGGGCAGAGGAGAAAACAGAGAAATCTTGGATGGAGAAGGGAAAGATCAAAGATTACAAAGGTGAGAACTTATATGTTGTGTTTGGTTAGGGTGAGCTGGTAAATCTGGTTAAATCAGAGGGTCTACAGAAGAGTAGAAATACAGAATTTTGGCACTGAAAGGGAAATCAAGTCTTAGCCTCTTAATTTTACATGTGAAGAACTAAGTTCCAGTTGCATTAAGTGACTTGTTAAGGGTCCCCCAAGGCTATGACAGAAACCAGAATTAACATACTTGTTTTCTTACCTCAGCCCAATATGCTTTCATTTTTATCCTCTGGCAAAGGTTTGGGTCCTACTTTGGGATTCACTGGGAAATGTAAAACTGATCATTTTGATCAGTAAAGTGATGTTATCGAAGAATTGTTTGGGGGAAGAGTCTCTGAATTCGGGGCAGTCAGCCCACTCAGTTTGTCTGGGACTAAGGTCTTTCTCAGGATATAAGACTCTTTTTTTGTTTTTGGGTCCGGTAGTGGGGCCTGAACTCTGGGCCTGGGCGCTGTCCCTCAGCTCTTCAGCTCAAGGCTAGCACTCCATCACCTGAGCCACAGCGCCACTTCCGGCTTTTTTCTTTTTGCTTATGTGGTTCTGAGGAATTGAACCCAGGGCCTCATGGGCAAGCGCTCTACCACTGAGCCACCTTCCCAGCCCCAGGGCATAAGACTCTTAAGTGCTAAAACTGGGAGGGTTCTGAGTAGCCTGAGACAAGTTAGTCACACTAGAGATGAATAGGAGGAACTAGAAAGAGGAATGTCAGAACAGGGAGCCAAATTGGGTGGATATTATTAATGACTTAGGTAGAAGCAAAACATAGGTCTTTGACCTAGAGGCAGCAGATAAAAACTATAAAGGCGGATGGAAAATAGAAAGAAATAAAGGATGTGGTTCTGGATAAATTTGAGGATGGACAGAGAAAATTAAGATGCCAGGAAAGATTTAGTTACTATGTTTAGATGACTTAAAAGAATTAGGGTGTACTGAAGAAATGTAACTTCTGAATGGGAGCTGATGAGACATAAGACACAGTGCCCCAATTGGCATTCCCTGTGTTCTGCCTTTTGGAGTCTTGTTATCTATCCTCCCTCTAACTTGTAATTTAGAAATCTCTCAGTACTGGTCATGATTTGTAAGTCTGTTTATAAAGCTGAGAACTGAGTCATGTTGACACTTTCTGGTTTTGCTTCTGTATTCAGTACTTTATATATCTTTTCACCTTAGGACTATGGATCTAAGGACGGTTTTGTTGAACTTAGAGGCACATAGAAGGAGAAGGAGTGGGGCAAAGCATAAAGAAAGAAGACCCCACCCTTTTATTGCATCTTGTTTAATTTTTTTTTTTGTGCCAGTACTTGGGCTTGAACTTAGGGCTTCAGATTCTCTCTTGGCTTTTTTTGCTGAAGGCTAGCACTCTACCACTTGAACCACACCTTTATTTCCTTTTTTTCTTAGTTAATTGGAGAAAAGTCTCACAAATTTGTCTGCACAAACTGGCTTTAAGTTGGTATTCTCAGCCTCATGAGTAGCTAGGATTACAGGTATGAGCCACTGGCAGCTAGTTAGCAAGGACTTTATAGATAATATTTTCCCTTTGTTCTGTTTATAAATTTGATGGATTTATAAATGGATTTTACAGATTTGATGGATTTTACAGTCTTCCTCTGTAGAAAAATGGAGAAGGCAGTTTCACTGGTCTGTTTCTTCATTGGTATTTGTAAATTG